TATATATATATATATATATATATTACAGCTAATAACACTAATTGAGTAGCACTTCTATCTTTAATGTTATTGTAATGATTTAATGATTAGTCATTTGTTAACTTAAATCCTCACACAAGTTTTTTTTTTAATATAATATAAAAAGAAACCGTTTCATAAATAAAATATAATAAAAATTAAAGAATAAAAAATATATTTCTAGGGGCAAAATAAATATGTATAAAGAAAATTTTGCGCATTTAATTTAGAGGTACTATATTTTTTAGACAGGCGTGTGGGGTGTTAATACCTTCCCTACCGTAATTGACTCTCAAACTTAATTTTACCTTTGAAGACCATTTTTCAAAGGGTTTTCTAATTATTTTTTTCCTTCAAATAAAATATTGGTGACAACTCTATTAAAAATATGTTTGCGTCATCTCGTGATGATTTCAGTTACGACATCAACCATATTATTATGTTTTACTTCAACATCTAACACTACAACATTTGTTATCTATGACAACAATAAAAAATCGTTGTTGAAAGCCAAAAAACCGTTCCTAAAAGTTTAGGGAACGGTTTGGCAACGGTTTCTGAAGCGTGGATTTATCAACCGTTGCCTATTTCAATATGCAACGGTTTTTTGGCCTGTGCCCACGATGTCAAAAAAACCGTTACCTAAACTTCCAAGAACGGTTTTCATGATCTTCATTGGCAACGGTTTTTTTTTTATTTAAGGCAACACTATTAATTTTTAAAGAACGATTTTAGAAATGTAGTCTATTTTTATAGGCAACACTTTTATGACTGTTGCTAGTGACATCAGGGAACATTTTTTTAAGGTTGTTTATGAGATAATATAGGTAACAATTTAGACTAAATTTAAGCTACAATTTTGTAAATATTGTCTAAATAAACGCCCAACAGTTATTTTAATATTGACTTATAACATTGGTAATAACACACTATTATTTAAACAATAATCTTCACCATATACTATTTTTAAATGGTTGCAAATGTAATATATATATATATGTGTATATATATATATATATATTAAATTTTACTTTATCCTGTGAAATCATATATATGTAATACATACCTATAATTATAATACAAATAGTATATTAAACAACTCATATTAATAAGAAGAACTATACATTATTTTGGATTGATAATCCTCTTGTACATCCTCTTCTTCAAGAAGACGTTTCTCATATGCTCAATAAAGAATTGATTTCACCCTCAAAAAATAATAAAACAAATTATAAAATGAAATCCAAACACATGTAAAATTCACTTGCATTAATTAGTTCCAAGTATATGACAATTCAAAAGCATAAAACTCCAAATAAAATCATCCAAAGATGTCAAAGTTTACATAAAATTTCTAAATTTCAAAATAAAGTGTCATCTAGGAATATTATGCATAGCTAGTCATCCATCCATGTAAGTAACATCATTCAGTCTCTTCATCATCATAAGGTTGATCTTCATCATCAAGTCTTTCCTGCATATAAATATATTTTTTCACTTAGAAAACTTATAAAATTAATCCTCAATCAATGTCCAACAATTAACATAAGTTAAAGCTAGTTATACTCAAGAAAACTTTCATAACTGGTTTGATATATGCAAATGAAATGAATTAAAATATAATTTAGAACTCGACAAAGGCATAAATTATACCTTACCATGACCAGGACTATGGGTTGAGGCAGAAGAAGGAGGTGCTACACTATTGTCATTGCTTATACCATTCTCCATTATATTATCCAAAGCTTGGTCATTCAATTCTGGATTGATTTCCTTTAGCAAGCATCTTACAAGACATTGTAATCTTTGAACTGTCTTAGCCATTGAACCTATCTCAACAGAATGTTGTTTCTTTAAAGCAACAATTTCTTCATTTTTCTTTAACATACTTGGTGTGATCGTTCTTCCCAGACATCGAACTCTACCGGGTTTTTCTTTGCCAAAGATTGATTGAAAAGCTTGTTCAGCAGATTCACTACTTGAGGATTGGATTGATTCTTGAAGTTTTGTCTAATTTATAAGAAAATAAACATTATAGTTAAAATACAATCAAGACATACTACTTTAAAAAATTGGTATTGAAATAGTAGACTTACAATCACAATTTGAGTATCTTTATCCACCTCTTTTCCTTTTCGACTCTGACGAGTCTCAATGAACATTTCAGCTTGAGAAACATCCTCTCCATTCTTCTTTTCTTGCTACATAAATTAGAGATTCAATAATAAGAAATGCACAAGAGGTACAAGAATTTATTGTTTTGCACATATAAACATAAATATAATACCAATTTTGCACGAATCCTTGCAAAGTTTGTAGGACCCATGCGGTGAATGTATTTCTGCTTTGCCCTATTGATAGCATTTTTCTGGCTTATATTCTGCATTGCATTGCATAGAATTTTTTTTTTTAAGTTCAATAATAAAATGTAACATCAACCAAAAAATAGCAGCAAAAAAATAGTAGAAACAATGATCCAAAATAGCAGAAATACCATAATTAGTATTCAGAATCAACAACCATAAACAACTAGATACACCATTTGGAAAATTAATAACATAAAAAACTAGCATAAACAGCAACTATAAATACCAACTAGAATAGGAATCGAGACTAGTAACAGTAGCCTAGAGCAATAACAATGAAAACAGGTAGAAACAACAAAAAAAATATAAATATAATTATCTTAATTACTTGGACAATACTGTTTCTCCAATAAACCATCAAGTGTTTATACTGATTTTCAGGTATATGCTTTGGACGATGTTTCAGCCTTTCTGTCAAAGTTGAGTATTTCAAAAAATAGTTCCTCTTGATGTAGTTCTTGTAGCGTCTCCAAGCATCATTTATGCGAGCAAATATTGCTTTTTTTCCTTTCTCGGGAATAATGAATTTTTCCTGTAAAATAGAAATATAATTATCAACATTGATAAGTATTAACCATTTAGCAAATTAAATTTACTATCACTTTTCACATACATTAACAAAATCCCATATTTGTTCTCTTTCATCCATGGTCAAGCCTTTGAAGTTTGTATAAATTAAAGGGCAAAAGTTTGGATTCCTTGCCACAGTGCCTAAGAAATAACTCAAGTCGGATACTACTTTGTCTTTGGGTCCAATTGGTTCTCCATCATCATCTAAGGTAACTTCTTGACGTTCTTCGAATGATCTTGCATGTATTTTCAAACATCGTGTTGGCCCTCTTGTTTTTTTCTTACATGTACCTAGTTTATCATAATAGCCATGAAAGATAATAGCAAATATGGTTACAGATATATATAAAGAATAGCAAAATAGAATAGACTAAACAATTATATAACCATTTATCTTACTACTTTCGTCTTGTAGTGCATTTTCTTCTTCATGACCATTTTTTTCCATGAGTTCTTCATTTTCACTTGCATCTTGCTCCTCCTCTTCTGGACCAAACTCCACATTTTCTTGAAGGAACTGATCAATTAACATAGCTGGACACATCGAGACTTTTCTTGTCTTTTTTTGAGGGTTTTGGAGATTTTCACGTGAGTCATTATTTTCAGCTAGTACCATTTTCACAGACTGTCTTCCATGTGATCCACTATGTTCAGCCACTGACTTTCTTATGGGCTCATTTTCTTGCCTCTCATTACATTCAGCCATTGCCCTTTCTATGGGCTGCCTTCCATGTGACCCAGCATATTCAACTAGTTTCCTTTTGTTGGTTACCTCTATTGGAAATTTCTTTGGAACTTGAACTTGAGTTTTCTTGCCTTGTATGTTGGTTGCCTCTATTGGTAACTTCTTTGGAACTTGAATTTGTGTTTTCTTGCTTTGCATGTTGGCTACCTCTATTGATAACTTCATTGGATGTTTAATTTGTGTTTTCTTGCCTTGCACGTTGGCTGTCTCTTTTTGAAACTTTTTTTCACTTACATTCTTTCCTTCTCCTTGATCACTTGTTGAATGGTTTGCAATGCTAAAAGTACCTTGATTGCGCCCTCTGATTTGGTTATCAAACCCTTTAGGTTTTGATGTAACTGCTGCAGTAGTTGGTGGCTTGTTTTTCTTGATATTAGTTCCTTGGACCTTAGTCATAACTCCTTTGCTTTGTTTAGTATTACCCAATACCTTTTCACGCTTAATTTGAAATCTCCTAAGTAATTCAGCACTTGATTTCACTTCACCTTCCAAATTGAAGATATCTTTCTCACGTTTGTCTGTAGTACTCATATTTTACTTTAAAATTCCTTCCTTCTGCGTTTTGTACCTACAAAATGAAAAATATAATTAGTGGATAGTACTCATGCTTGTTGTTCCAGATTACATGAGCTTTAGATCTCCAAATAGCATGGGGTTAATTTTGTTAGAAAGCTAAGACACTAAGCTGTTCATAATTAAAATTTGAGAATTTTATAGTTTGACATGCAGTACCAGTTTTTATTTTAAAACAAGTCAATCCTTGCTGTAACAGAGTACACATCCTCTCTTAGACACCAAAGAGTAACTATTGCATAACTTGAGCTCTAGGTCTCCAAATAGCATGGGGTTAATTTTGTTAGAAAGCTAAGACAATAAGATTTTCATAATTAAAATTTGAGAATTTTATAATTTGACATGCAGTACCAGTTTTTATTTTAAAACAAGTCAATCCTTGCTGTAACAGAGTACACATCCTCTCTTAGACACCAAAGAGTAACTATTGCATAACTTGAGCTCTAGGTCTCCAAATAGCATGGGGTTAATTTTGTTAGAAAGCTAAGACACTAAGATTTTCATAATTAAAATTTGAGAATTTTATAGTTTGACATGCAGTACCAGTTTTTATTTTAAAACAAGTCAATCCTTGCTGTAACAGAGTACACATCCTCTCTTAGACACCAAAGAGTAACTATTGCATAACTTGAGCTCTAGGTCTCCAAATAGCATGGGGTTAATTTTGTTAGAAAGCTAAGACACTAAGATTTTCATAATTAAAATTT